GTTACGCTAGTAAGTGATGTAAGCAGACTGACTATAAGTCTAACCTCTCCACTGTGCTACTCTTTCCACATGATAAACACCACCTCCTGACAACAATAACCACGTCATCAACAACCACAACATCAACAACAGCAGCCATATCTTAATCAAGACACTCCTGGTAGAAAGAAAGACAGTGTTGGCTGACATTTTGCCTGAATTACATTTTCCTATCTTAACATTTGGGAATTTTCCTACTGGCTATAACAAGAGACCCTGGAAGAAACAACCCCACGAAACTGGTAGTTGTGTTACCATAAGGGTTCTACTTTGGACAGTCATAGTACGCACTTGAGCTCTTTCAGAAGAAATTTATCTTTGAATGTATTAGAAACTACAGCTTCCTAGGACACCTGATACTTTGGCAAATATGCAGTTTTAGGGCAGATATATTATGTCCTCAGCTCATGCCTGGTGGAATTCTAACTTACATGCTTTCTTTCCTTCCTCTACCCTGATTGTCTCACAAACATAACTTTATATTTTATATAGTTTGAATGTATTATAAAACTTTAATGAATTCATGAATAACCAATATTCATTTCTGCTTTATAAACTTCTGAAAATAGAGCATTTTTCATGAAACAACTATGGGCCCCTCCAAAGCACACAAAATGAGTATACATCTAATTAGGTAAGAGGTAATTATATTTCTTTAACCTTAGGATCATGGTTATCTTTACCTGAGACAAACTTAACCTTTAATTGAAGTCTATGTGATGGCCATCTGTCAAATATTACTGGGCAAACTAACAATCTGCAAGCTTACTGTAAGATTGGGGACTCGCTTGGTAAGGAACAGCCTTGACAGAAAGAATTAGAATTTAGCCTTTTTTCATCATGATGTAAATCTAAATAAGTAAATCTTACACACTGGATGGTGTTCCTTGGACACACATGGTTAATTATGAAAGGACATGAAGATGAAAAGGTGCTATGGGCAACTTAATCTCTTACTAGAAGAAGAGTTTGTTTTTCCATTATTTGAAAATGTGAAACTACGTTTACAAGCTATGAAGTAAATAGCAAAGATTATGTAATATGTTGCAAAGAAAGATGAGGTTCTTATATATATTTAATTTTTATGTGAATAAGGACATATATAGAGAATATTTACTGTTATATGTTATATATATATATGAAGTTGGCACAAGAGAGTCATCATTTGGAACTAAGAAGCCCTTAAACCAGATTTTTGGCAAGTCAATTTAGTGTAGACTAGCAATTTTAAAATATTTATTTTATTTGATATTAATGAACACAGCAATAGAAACATGTCATTGGGTCTCTTAATTATATTTAGAAACTAATTTTGAGTTCATTTAAATGTTTACCACAATAATCACTTTTTTGTTTCTTTTTAAAATGTTTGAAAGTAGCTTTTCCATAATTAATAAAGAATAAAATTCTTCAAGATTTGTGGTAGACAACTGTAGTGGGAGTTGTGTCATGCCACCAAGATCCCTTTTCAAGACCTATCCCACCAATTGGGAGTGTGGGTACTCAGGTTCTCAGCCTCTCTCCTGGGACTGCCCTTAGTTAAGCAGAGCTGACTTGACCCAGGGCACACAAGCATCCCTTGACTAGTCTATGTGGGGGAGTAAAGGCCTTCTCACCTACTATGCCTCAAGGTGGTACAACTCTGAGAGGCCGTCTGAGCTCCAGGGTTCCCTATGGGTTCATCCTATCTATACCTGCACTGCAGCTCACCTTCTCCCTCTGCCCCATACTACTATCTTCAGTTCTCCAAGATATTTTCCTAAGAGTATTCTTTAATACATTTGCCCACATACATGTCTCCATCTCTGTCTATTTCATGGAGAATCAACATAAATCTCTTTAGATATGCTCAGGGAGAAAAAATTAATATAGAGCATTTTAATACACTTCAGGAATTCTTTAGAACAGCTTTAATTCAACAAAATTTATTAAATATCTATGATGTTCTTGACGTTGTGCTAAACACTAAAGATATAAAGTTAAGCAAAATTGAATTAAGCAAAATTGATCTCAAGGAACTCGCTGGCATGAAACACAGATATTACAAGTTAATATAATTCAAATGAGACAAGTCCTGTATTAAGAGTATGGACAAACTGCTTTGAAAGTACTGAGAAAGGAAATGTCTATCACTCTGGAGACCCATGAGACAAGAACGACTTCACTAATGACATTTGAAAGAAATACTTTCAAAGCTCAGGGCTGTCGAATTATTCTTTCCTTTCTCTCATATCCCACATCCAATCTCTCAACAAAACCATGACCTCGGCCTTTAAATGTATCTAGAATCAAGATCACACCACCTCCACTGCTTCTAATGTATGCTCTCATATCATCTCTCACGGCATCAGGCTCAGGACTGGTCTTCCTGCCCTGCTGCTGCCCCTCATGATCTGTTCTCAACACAGCAGTCAGGTGATTCTGCTAAATAAAAGTCAGGTCATGAATTCCTCTGCTGAAAACATTCCAAAGTTCTTATCTCTTACTAAGAATCAAAGAGGTTATACCTACAGGGTCCTAGGCCATCTCCACATTGCCCCTCCTGTCCTTGCCTCCATGCCTTACCTTTCTCAGCTCATTTAGAAGCCTCCTCTCATTTGCTCTCTTCCATCTACTCTGGCCAATTTGGTCTCCTTGTAACTGGCCAGCCCTCTGCCTCAGGATATCCATCTGTACTTAGGCTACTTGCTGTTTGTTCCTTGTGCTTGACTCCTCCCTCCCCTCCCTCAGGTTTCTTCAACTACCAACTTCTTCCTGATGCTTTCCTTGACCACTCTGCCCTAGCACTACTTAGTACCCTTTCCTGTTTTGTTCGCAGAACTTACCACTGGAGTTGTACCTGATGATTATTTGTTATATTTAGAGTTTGCCCTTCCTCACCAGAACATGAGCTCTAGGAGGGCAGGGATCATCGCATGTTTTGTTTCTGACTCCATAACAAATACAATTGTACAATTGTTCCAAGAACAGGGAACATGTTTGCTAAATATTTGTTGAATAAATGAATTTTACAAATAATGAAGGAAGAGAAAGATGAAACTCTTCAGTACGAACAATAGCTGGAAAGCATAGAAATCAAGGTATTTCTAAGGCGGTGTGGCTACAGTGGAGAATTCTTTGTGGTCAGAGCTGGAAACATAGGCTAGATATGTAAACCATGAAATATGGTGTTATGGGCTGAGTTGTCCCTCCCACAAATTCACACTTTGAAGTCCTAAACCCCCAGTGCCTCAGAATATGACTTTATTTGGAGGTAAGGCATTTAAAGACATAATTAAGTTAAAATGAAGCCTTTAGGGTGGCCCTAATCCAAAATGATTGATAATCTTATTAAGAAGAAAAATTTGGACCTGGACAGCTACAGAATGAAGACTATGTGAAGACACAGAGAAGATGAATATCTACAAGCCAGGGAAAGGGCTTCAAAATAATAATAATAATAATAATAATAATAATAATAATAATAATAATAATAATAATACTGCTGGCACCTTGATCTTGGACTTCTAGCTTCCAGAGCTGTGAAAAAATAAGTTTCTGTTGTTTAACCCACCGACTCTGTGGTACTTTGTTATGGCAAACTAATATAAATGATATATGTAAGGAATTTTACAAGCCACTGTAAAATTTTAAGTAGGAAGAGATGAGACCTGAGTTATAGGACAATTGCATTTGTGGTAATATGGAAGAGAGGTTGGAAGATGGAAAAGGCTTGAGCCATATACACTAACTGGGAAGTGTTTACAATAGTTATGGTCTACATCACGGTGAAAGGAAGGAAGAGGCGAGAATAGAATTGGGGAAGCATCGGAGCCAGGACTGTTAGAAACTTAGTGACACGTTAGAGATAAGTGATATTGACATCTTCCATAAAAGGGGATTTAGTAAAATGCAGACCTGCAAAGGGGTTCAGATAGTAAAATTTACATAGATTTCATTGGTTTCATACTTGAGAAAATTTCTCAATATGGAACTTTAAAACAGATTATATAGTAGGATTCATGCTGCTCATGATAGTGAACAGCATTCATTGAAAAAAGTAGTCTGCATAAAGAGCTGCAGGCTACATTTTCTTTTGGGGATAATATTAGCATAGTAGTTTGGCATATTTAATATTAGCGTATTAAAGAACCTAGGAAGTTTTGCAATGAATAAACTTCTATAACTTTGGCCAAAAAAAAAAGTATTTGCTTGGAACATTGATTTGATTACTGAACTCTTTTTGTGAGGCAGCTTTGAACCTCTCCCTGAACATGAATACTCTAAAAATTAACACAGTGTGGAAAATAGTGGTAATTTTGATGTACTAGAACATTTCCAAAATAAATAGAGAATCTTTGTCTGGGTAATCTTTGTTCCCAATAGCAAAACTAGTCAACACTGTCTTAACAAATTGGCAGAATAATCTCATTAAGGGAATATAGTTGGTTTTCCCATAACCTAATTATTACCAGATTTAAAAAAAAAAAAAAGAATCTTCTGAAAGTAGCACTATTTTTTTTTCATGTCCTTAAAGGAAAACTACTCAGTGCCTTAAAACAAAAAATAAAATATTTTGGTGACTTAAGGGAACAGTGTAGCTCAAATGCAGAAACCTGAGAGTCATTTTTATTTATTTATTTATTTAATTTTTATTTTTTTTAATCTCACCCAAAGATATTTTTTTCTATTGCTTTTCAGAGACTGTAGAAGGGATACAGGGAGAGAGAGAGAGGGAGAAACACCGATGTGAGAGAGACACATTGCTTGTTTGCCTCCCACAGGCACCCAACTGGGCCTTTGGTTGGAATTGAACCCAGGGCCCTTCAGTCCATGGGCCGATGCTCTAACCACTGAGCCAAACCGGCTAGGGCTGAAAGCCATTTTTGACCAGATTTCTTTGATGCTAGGGCAGTCACAGTCTAAATTTTCCCATAACCCACAGCTTCTGCAAACCACAGAGTCCCTGCTCAGTGACTCACATGCGATGCGCACGTAGGCCTTCCGGCTCTTTGTGGTGCCTGCTGAGCTCCAGGCCACACACTGGCACCAGTAATCTTCAGGCCCAAAGAGTTCTTCCACTTGCTGGCGCGAAATCTCAATGCTCACTTCCCGGACAATGAGACCTAGCATGAGAAAGGAAGATTTCAGTCAGAAGAAGATTTGTACTAAAGAAATAAAAGACATCATATCATATTTTTCCCCGCTCAGTGATCCTTCTTGATGCTGTAGATCACCATCCCAGATATTACCTCTCATCTCTTCTGATTTTCCTCTGGTTCCAGTAACTTGACTCACAACTTTTTCATTCTCCTGTTTGCTATTTCAAATCTTCCAGATTCATCAGAAGATGAAAGAGAAGATCTATCACTCCACAAAATGATTCCTTTCCCCATATGGCCTAATAGTCATCCTCCACCAAGCTATCTCCTTCTGTATATTTAAATGTGAACTTGAATTTCACAGCTTCTAAGGACTCTACCTCGATTATATAGGTTGTGGGTAAGAGACCCACATGCTGTACACAGAATTACAGACTTAAATTTTCCTAAGAAAACTTAGTTCACATGAAATAAAAGAGAGCCACTTAAAACTATAATCATAAATGCATACATTAGAAATATGGATACCTATATAGCAGGTTTTATTGTATCACCTAGTAATTTATAAATATGTGGTGATGATTTAACAATTAAATTACTTTAACAGTTGTGTAGCTGTGTTTCAGTTATTAAGGTACACTTTTTCTTGAAAGATATATTGCCTTAGGTAACAAACCTCTGCTGTTCTATCCAGAGAATGTGTGACTTTAAGGTTTTCAGGCATAATATTTTGAAAGCCCAAATGTTTCTCTATAATTGTAATGTAACCAAAATCCTGTTAAAGATAATGCGGCCTCCAGCTAAAATGCTTGAATAATTGGAATTTGTTTCACAGAATTACATAATCCTAAATAACATAAATTGAACTAAGAATCTGGGATTATCATTTTGGGGGTATTTATGTAGATTTATTCTGCAGTTTGCATCTTTGCACTGAGCAAGAACAGTGATCTAAAAGATATATAAGGATACCTGTCAGCTCTTCTGAAGATTGAATGCACAATTTCCAGATGGAGTGTCTACTGAGAGAACTAACAGGGGTACCCTTAGGGAGTGGAAGAATTTGCTCTGGGTTAAGTATGAGCACAGGAAGAAAGATTAAACATATTGCTTTCTACTGTTCATTCATTCATTTTTTTTCATTGAACAAATATTTATTAAGTACCAATTATTAAAAGATACTGCACTAGGCACTTGGGAAATGATGAGTAAGATAGTGATTGTCCTCAATGAACTGATATTATTGTGAGGAGGGAACATATTAATTACAGATCATACAATTTATTATCTAATTATAATTGTGTTCAGTACTACAAAGGAGACATATTGGGACACTCAGAATGGATAACAAGGGGAATAAAAGATTCAGTAAGAATTAGGTTTGTTAAGTTATATAGGGAGAGGGACAAGGCATATGGGAAGGAGCAAGAAAAAGAGTGAGAAGAGTGAGGTCCCCAAAGAAGACAAGCCCCAGAAATAGAGTAATGGCATGAGAAGCCTCTAGAGATAAGAAAGGGACCACTTTATATACAGTGTCGTAGACTAGTGGTTCTCATTGTGGACTCCTGTACAGCTGTGTTAGCATCCCCTGGAACTTGTTGGAAATGTGAATTCTTGGGTACCACTTCAGACTCACTGAATAAGTAGCCTTGAGAATCAGGCCTAGCAGTCTGTGTTATAACAAACCCTCCAAGAATTCTGATGCATGCTACAGTTTGAGAACTACTGTGTATTGCATGTTTAGGATTTTGAATTTCTTCCCGAGAGCCATGGATATTATTAAAGTGTTTTAAGCAAGTAGATGATATAATCAGATGATAATTAAAAAAATACACACACACACACATATATATATAATATGTACAAGATATAGTATAACTAGTTCTTTGGAGTTTAATTCGTTCCTCAAAGTTATGATTTCTTAACATGTTTGATCATGACTTCTTGGTACCTGTGACATGAAAAAGGTGCCATCTAGAGATCCTAAGAAAGAGTCTCCCAGAACTTTCCTTAAAACCTAGGACATGTTCCGACGGGTAACAGCATTCAGGGGATAAACAATATTTCCTATCAAAAGCTGATGAAATTTGAGTCACAAAAATGTCTAAGCCCTAAGTCAATGACTAGGTTCACTCCTGAGTCTCTGAACTTGAATGAAGCCCAGGAGAGTGGGTTTTACAACTCCCAGGCAGGGCAAGACCCTGAAGGGGCAGCTCGTTTGTCAAGGCTTATTGAGTATATTTTAAAGTTTTGAAACTTAGTAATTTTCTTATGTTTATATAGTGATCAGCTTAAAAATAATTTTCTTTTTTTTCATTTTTATTAAATTTATTGGGGTGACACTGGTTAACAAAATTGTACAGGTTGCAGGTGCACAATTCTACAACACATCACCTTGTACACACCACCCCAAGTCAAGTCTCCTTCCATCACCATTTATCCCCCTACACCCTCCTCCTCCTCCCTCACCCCCTTTTCCAGTAACTGGAACACCCCAATCCCTCACCTCACTATGAGAGCATTAGTATATTATTTTAGCAAATGTCCAATACATAAAATGACCACAGAAAAATCCCAATTTATTAACAAATAACACTACTTTCCTTCCTCTTTCCTGGCCCCTGATTAGGCCTCTCATTTTCTTATCTTATTGTAATTATTATCATTTTTCCGATATCTAGAAATCCATGCAAAGATGGAGCACAGCTTTTCCACCCCTCTTCCCACCTTTTTAAAAATTCCACTTTCTGGTGTTTAATACTTTTGCCTATTTTACTTGTTTATACCTTCTTTCTTCACACAGAAATTCACTTACTGGAATCAAAACTCTTCCTGTAAAGTTGCTGCAGTAATTTACAGTCACCAAAGGGCTGATAAACTTGCTGTATTTCCTTAGACCTATAATGGCTCTTTCCAAAATGCAGAGCAGCAACAAATGGGCTCAGGATATTAAAACCACATACAAATATTTTGTGTCCCGAGATGATAACTTTAGGTTTCATTCCCCTCACCCCCTTTTACTTAAAGCAATTACAGGAAACCTAATTAAATGCTAGGGGAACTTCACTAGGGACACTGTATCCTTTTAGCCCAAATACCTTCATGGCTGTTTCTACTGACCACAGATCTGAAGCCTTTTAAGAAGCCACAGACCGAGCCTCCTGTACAGGAATTATTCACAGTATGAATGTTCTGAATTGTGTGGCCCAGGCTCCCTGTGGGTGCTGGAGTCAAGCACACACCAATTTTTGTCCTCAGCTTCACAAACACCCCATTCAGGAGGGCATGGATTATTTACAGTTGTGTACAGTTGTCCTACCACATGCCCAAAGTTTACATTCCAACTTTTGGTCAACACAAGAACAAGAAAGGATTGAAACATGGAGTATCTAAACACGGTGTAGAATCCCCTGCTGCATTATTCAGACTCTGAGCTACATGGTACATACTATCTTTTCATGAACACAGGTAAGTTCAATCCCTCTAACATTTTGTCCATCAAATCAGAGGCTAGTGGTGTGGGTAAAAGTAGGTAATATCCTTTCTCTTTGAAAGTAAAATTGCAAATCTGCTTGAAGTCTTGAGATAGAAAAAACAAGCTGCCTTGAAATTTCAAATGCCATCAGCATTACTTCCAAGGCAGGCTGCTTTGAAGAGCATTTTGGAACTTGAAATTGGTTACAGGTTATTTAAAGGTGGGGGGAAATGCCTCAGTCTACAGGATTTACTCAAATATAAATGTGTATTTCCCATCACATTTGATAACATCAAAGATTTCCCATCACTGTTCTTCCTTTAATTGTGGCATTTCAAGGATGCGTGCTGTTTGAAGTTTGCAGCGATTTGCTTTTCTAATAGGATTCATTGTGGTTTGGGAGCCAGAGTACAGGAAAGTAATTAGTATGCTAGACCAAGAAGTCTTCTAATGAGTACAAATATGTACTTCTTAATAGGGAGTTTCAAATAATTTTAGAAATTCAGATGCAAGTGCAACTTTCTGATTGGATTGTGGCAATAAAATCTGCTAATTGACATTTATACCTTATCTTTAGCATAATTTTAATTTCACAAGAGTGGCCAGGCACCATAAATGGTGTTTTTCTAGAGATTATTATAAAGTAATCACAAATACATGATGAATGCTGTTGTAACATTATTTAAAATAAGATCCATGTTTCCCCCAAAATGTAATGTATAATGCTGCCAAAAAATCTGAAAAGTCCACTAATGTGAAAAATTATGTTAAATTCTAGAAATGTAAAGAATTATCCAAAGTCACCCACAGCCTTAAGCTGTTCACTTATGTTTTTTATTAGATGACATTTAAAAAATCATGTATTATCTTAAAAGATTTTAAGAAATGTGGTCATAAATTTGTACCTTCTGATACCCCATGTATGTTTCACTAAAAAGCATCCTAACCCCACGTTAGATGTCCTAGTTGTACTTCTCCTTCCTCCCAATTGCTTTATGGTACATATGGCACTGGAATCATGTTCTGCAGACTTCGAGCCCTCTCCATGTTAGGAGAAGAGCTATAGAGGTCACTGGACAAAATCTCATTACAGTACATTCATAGTTTGGAATGGGGTTGGTGAACAATGTGCGAAGCTACAGGTAGGGGTGTTCTGGAATATATTACATTTTATTGAATTAGTGTGGTCCCTTTTTCATGTTTTCTTCCAGAGCCTAATTCTATTAGTTTCACTAATATGATCTAAAATATAAAACATATCAGTTCTAGATGTCTTAATATAAATTAAATCACACAAAATACCATCATTATTTAAAAGGATGTCATACCATAAAAACTGATGATTATTTCTGCAATTTATAACTCACTAAAATAATCAAAATATGATGGCTTGAAAGGCAGAACTTTATAATCGGGACACTGTTTCATGTTACATGAAGTCATCTGACAACCTTTAAACTACATCAGGGAAAGGAGACATTATAAACACATAATTTACAAACTTTTATCTGAAATGTTTCATTTGAATTTTTAACAAACATTTAATATG